ACATATTTAATTCAACTATATTAGCTATTTAAAAAATATGAGCTTTTTGAGTAGATACCAATATTGTTATAATTTAGGGGTTATGGGAACTCTAATTGAGCAATATATAAAGACATTTTTGGTTATGGTCCTCAACATACCAAATTATATATAGTTTCCCTTCTCTCCATTTAGAAGAGAGACGACGGTCTCATTGAGGAAATAAGGCGATTCGGTTGAGGAAGATTATAAACTACACCCCTTCGTTCGTGTTCATCAGTATGTGATCGATTGTCGTAGTAATTCTGCAACAATAAACAATCGTTCATAATGGATCCAGATATATAACACAAATCCGTGAATCCTAATATTCTGGCATGATATAGATCCTAGCCTTTTGGTTATTTTAATATAGGATGTTTGCATCTAGATTTTGTTTCGATTTTAGATATAATTTATATTTCTAACATTGAGGTATTAAGTTTGAGGTATTAGAATGAAGACATAGGGCACAAGAGGTCCACAGAAAGTGAAGAAAGGAGTGAGTGTACTTAGAGAAGCAAATTGATCAAATGTACCAGCTCGAACTGACCCGACTACATCTAGATCAGTTCGAGCTCGTTACAAGTTCAAGTCGATCTGTCCAAAAATGTGACTTCTTGTGCCCACCATGTGTTTGCTCTGATGAAAATACTATGTAACATTCATTGATATCATTATTCATATTAAAGTTAGGAAATAAAGAGGAGATATTTCACCTAATGTTTAGATTCTATCAAACTTCGCGAGCAACAAATATTAAAGTTGAGTCGACACTGGAATTGATTATAATGTAGGTAACAAGGTTTTGATTTGCATAACAAAGTGAGTTCGCTTTATATTCTGATATAAGATTTTTGTAGATACTATTGAATAAGATCAAACAGTACAATGAACAAGATTTTAAATTATTTTCTTACTGTCTAATACTGACTAGTCCAAGAGTAAAACTCATCAAAATGTTTAAACTCAAAAGAAAAGTAGCCCAAAAAGCCTAACGAGGATTCAACATATATGAAGATCACTCCATGATTCAGGTTTCTAACCTATTCTGATGAGCACACCATCAATGCTACATGACCAAAACTGTTCAAGACAAATTATCAGTTCTTACAGTGGGTAAGTTATAGCCGCTCGTTATGAGGTGGCATATTGCTAAGATTTCAAAGAAGTAAAAAAAACAAAGATATCAATGCAATATGGTAAATGAATAAAAAAAAAACATACACAACATGTTCTCATTCTATAGACGTTATTTATGCCATGTTCTTATTTGTTTCCCTTCCCTTCATCTTCGTTCAAGATGCGATTTCGAAAATCAGTGACCATGAGAGGCAACCCCTCGTGCAAGGAAATCTTCGGCTCCCAGTTCAGAAGCTCCTTTGCTTTACTGATATCTGGCTTCCTCTTATGAGGATCATCAGCAGTGTTAGGTTTGAAATCAATCTTTGCACTGGGATCAATAGTTTCTTTCACAACCTGTCATTTCAGGGAGAAATCAGCTTACTCGTGTCAAAAACTAGAATCCAGACCAGTAACTACAATGTCACAATGGAGATCAAAGATGTATCTAGGACAAACCTCTGCAAGCTCTAACATCGTGAATTCTCCCGGGTTACCCAAGTTGAATGGTCCCACGTGCTCGTTTTCCATCAATGCCACTAGTCCATCAACCTGACATCAGGAAAATACATATGGCACCATTGTTAACTTCATCTATTCATGCAAAGATAATATTTTCCTATATTCTGATTTTTACAGTACAGCTTGTGAAACAAATCATCTACATCATAACCCAAAAGAAACTCATTCTATGAGAAGGTTGTGTCTGTGTGTGTCGACTCATAGGATGTAAGACACACACGAGCCAAGAGACAAGGAGGGAGAGAGATCGAGAAATTGAAGAAGGTAGAATTTGGCCCAATTAACTGCTCGTTTGAATATTCAAGTACATTGCAAGATATATATTAATGTTGAAGCAAAAAAGCCAATAGCAACTCTCTGCATAATTTTCATCCCGTAGATGCCTAAAATAATTTAGCTATCATCCTCCTTATAAGTCATATGTTTCATCGCAACTCAGAAATTTAATAAATAACTAGATATAATTAAGATCCAAACCATCACGTGGGCATGTGCAACGCCACCAGAATAAAATGATTAGTTACCAGCTAGGAAATACATGATTTCTACTACCTTTCTCAGACAAGAGTAGTCCCAGTTAAAGCAGACTTGCATGGTTATAAAAAAGAGGCCCCGAGTAATTAAGGTGGTACCAGCAAGGCACATTACATTCCGTTAGTAAAAATAATAACATGACATACCAAGTCAGAAACATATTGGAAGCTCCTTGTTTGCTTTCCATCACCATAAACCGTCATAGGTTGCTTACGTATAACCTGCGCAACATAGCAGCGGTAATAAGAGTCTCTCATGAATATAAAAACCTTACAAAGGTTATCTAATAGTGTAACTACTTGATGGATCTTAATTATATTTTCGAGAATAGCAGAACAGAGGACGGACCTGTGAAACAAAGTTGCTGACAACACGGCCATCATCTAGACACATGCGAGGTCCATACGTGTTAAATATACGTGCAATGCGCACCTGGATAGGCAGAGGTGGAGGATTAGTCATTACAATAGCATAAACCAATTTGGAACGCGTCACCCAAGTAGCAGGGATAGGCATTTTTGTACAGGAACTAATCTTCATCACAAATATTATTGCTTCACAATGAGAAGCTATAAATTAAGCAACTAGACTTTACATGCCAGAATCTTGAGATGACATTATATGGTCGAACCATGATGACAAAAATTTCCTCGTTTCTCACTTTTTTTGGATAACTACTGAAACCAAAACTTTTTAAATAAAAATAATAAAGCAAATGAAAATGAAGCCTGTTCTCATACACGATGAACTTCAGGGTATTCCCAGCTTTCAGAAAACCCACTAGTATTCAATTTATTTTCTTTAAATAGAACCACGTTATACTCTAGCTTTTCAAGGTAAATTTGTGCTAAGAATTTGAACCAACACACAACAAGATTTCCTGCTGGAATTGAATACCCAGTGCAACACCAATGATGCCATCCCGCCCTTTTCTACAAAAAATTAGGTGAGAAACAAAAGACTACTTTTTTATTTTATTTGTATGGCAAGATGATCTTGGGGTCTGATCAAATCCGAAGCCAAGGAGTAAAAACAGAATAAAGTATATTATCAAGTGGCCAAGAAAATGATTTTAATCGAGATGTAATAATATACATAATATTCAAGGTCAAACTTACAAGATGTCACTTAATCTATCACTTTGAACCATGACACTGCTTGCCTGTCTTTCCATCAATTAGACTATGGAAAATCCAATAATAGACAGCAGCTTCTTTGCAATTCCACGTACATAGGTGAGTCTTTCTTCCAGAAAAGGGCTAATTTTTCTCTCGACTTCAGTTTTTCAAAAAAAAAAAAAAATTTGAAAACAGGAAAGGTACGTGCTTTTTATTCATCAGATATAATATTGTGAATTGGGGAAATCTATTGGGAAGAATAGTTTAAATACCTTTTAAGCACTTACAGTTAATTACCAAGGTTAGACGATACAAAAGAGTAATAAAGAACACTAACACCATTCACTAGATGAATGACAATCTTGAGCGAAAGATGATCATTCCCAAGTTATACACACTAAAGTATATTCTATTGTGACAGCCAAATTGTCCAGACAGCAAGCCCAGGATCAAGAAGTCGCATTACAGAATAAATTTATTACCTCAATACCGGCACCACGATGATAATCCATAGTTAATGTTTCAGCCGTTCGTTTCCCTTCATCGTAGCAACTCCGTACACCTAGTTACTTGAAATTAATTAATCATAAGCTTCCCACAAAAGAAAATAATTAGCAATCAACAAACACATTAAAATTCAGAAGATTGTCACTCATGACTCACCTATTGGATTCACATGTCCCCAATACGTCTCTTTCTGTGGATGCTGAAGAGGATCACCATAAACCTCACTCGTACTAGTAAGAAGGAACCTAGCACCAATTCTTTTTGCAAGGCCCAGCAAATTAAGGGTACCCATCACATTTGTCTTGTAATCACATGTCAAGGATCTCAATTCAAATTCCAAAGAAAAATAACTTGACTGCAGAACATGGTGGTGTGCATGTCTGTATATCCAAAATTTCTTATGTGAACCCAACAGACATATTAAAATTGATATGTATAACAATAAGAGCAACTTAGCATGCCCACAAGCGCGCACAAGAAAAGAGCCTAACTTAACTTGCCCTTATGCACACACATAGAACCAATTTAATTACACGATGCCAAACCGCGGCAGTAGAATAATCTGAAGATAACATACACATGCATGCATGCACGGAGAACTAATTCATATTCATACATATCACATATGTGCACGCAAACATATAGATTCACCTTCATACTCTAATAAAGTATCTCTTTATCGAATAACCATTAACGCCAGTATCCATAATCTGCACGCCCAAACACATAAAAAAACAGTGTGTGCGCCAGTGACAGGTGATAATGATTATTATTCATAAGAACCATAGAATTAAGGATATAATAGTCTTTACAGGGTTATACTTGTAATGAACCGGAGAAGCTGGGCAAGCCAAGTGGTAGATTTGATCGACCTCCAATAAAATTGGCTCTACAACGTCGTGCCTGATCAGCTCGAACCTCGGATTCCCTAACAAATGCACCACATTCTCTTTCCTTCCAGTGAAAAAATTATCAATCACAATCACATCATCACCTCTTGCAATCAACTTATCCACCAAATGACTGCCAACGAATCCGGCCCCACCAGTCACCACAATCCTCTTCCTCTTCCTTCCTATCCCCACCGACACTCTCCCCACCGCATTATTATACTTATAATTATTCTTATTCTCGACATTGTTATTTTCAATCACCCCATTGTGATCATAGTAAGTAATTGATTCACGATTCCCAGAAAATGCATTCGATCTGGCAATCAGGTGATTGTGAGTTCCTGATGAAAGGTGGGAGAGGGAAGGCTGGAGAATGAAGAAAGTGGAGCCAATGAGAATACCCACAAGAATAAAAAGAAGGCGCTGCTCTTTGAGGAGATAACTGATGGATCTGGAGAGGGGTTTGGGGTGTTTCAAGGCTTTGGGAGAGTAAAGTGAGGTTTGGGATATGGGAATCTCTTCATCTCTTTTTGTTCCTGATTGCCTTTGCAATTGCTTCATGGCGTTTGATTATGAACTTGTTAATGGATTTGATCAAGGAAAAGCTGAAAATCCAGATCGTTTGGAGAGAAACTGCATTGGTTGAGAACAAAGCAGTGTGAATCTGGTGAAGCTTTCTTGTATCGTATTGTACTGTAACTGTTCGATTCAGAAAAATGTTTTCACAACTGAATATTCTTAATATATTTTTTTCTAGAACGAAAAAAATTACTAAACGAAGCTGAAAACGAATCTATTGTGTTTTAACAGGCTTGACAATTGAATAGGCCAGTATTTTGACCCTACAGGCCCATAACAATCAAATAAACTGTTGGGCCCATTACAATCAATTCCGTAGACTTGTGATCTGTAATTCATTTTGGAGGAAATTACAAAAAACCAGTGGTTTAAACTTTCAAATTCAAAATTCAGGTCCAAGATTAATCTAATCAAAAATCAGGTATAAATTAAATATTTAAATAATATTATAATACTAATTTTTCAAACCCTCATTCATTT